CCTGGTCATATCCCACAACGGCTCTGGATGTTGATGCACTTGATGTTACATGCCATGAGCTTAGAGTAACTACACATGGGCCAAGCAATTATAGATTTACATTCACAGGATGTTTCAACATCTAAGGCTTTTCAGTTCCACGGCCAATTCGAGAATGTTGACATGTTCGCAGGCCGAAGGGCCATTTCAAAGGCATATGTTCGTAAGAACAAGAGAGCTACAGCTTTGGACATCTTGATTGACAACAGAGACGATTCTTGATTCAAAACATAATTTTCCAGAGAACCCAAATATGACCTTTTTGGAAAATACCGAGCAAACAGCACATTTCCAATTATGTATTGTACCATGTCAACCTGACCCTATCTTCCATCGGCCCACGCGTGGCAACATAGTACGCCGACCAGCCAAGGATATTCTTCAGCCGCTTGGATTCTTGAGATCACTGTGGGCTGTGATGAATCTATGTGCTGGAGGCCTATTTACTGCTGGAATAAAGTGCAACACATGGTCCATCGTCAACCGCCTCTAAACTGCAGCTAACTCTTTACCCTCATGGGCAATGCTAATTTTCCATTTGGGTGGGACCAAAGATACTAATTAACCCTCCCCCAACTCCTCCAAAAACCTATGGGACTTTGTGGGACTTCGTGGGCTCACTTTTCTACAATTTGGGAGGGCCAAAGAAATTGTAAAATTGGAAGCTGTTGATATGGTCTATAGTACTGTAGGAGGTTGAAGGCAAGACTTTCATCAGCATATGTAAACATCATACACTCCCAGGGGCAAGGGGCATGCTGCTCCTAAGGAGGCACCAGTCGCAGGAGTAAACAACGGCCACTCGGACAAAGGCCGGGCCTTTTGGGCATGTTGTGGCATGGGTTAAAGTGAACGTAATATATGATCATTCATGGAACAACATTTAACATGTTTTTGGGTCAAAAAATCATGGTTCCTCAGAACAAAACTCATGTTCAATGTGCTTAAATATTTGGGTAAGGTTGGTCAGCCACCTCCCAGTGATTTCACTTGCAGGTCCTTCGTGGGGAAGTACGTTGTTTTGCAATGATGTGTTCCTGTGCGAATTGGCCAGCTAAAGGGTCAGCTAAAACAAACATAATATATATGTAACAATTCTTTGGATTTTTGATGGCATATAATTAATACTATAGTCCTGATTGCGTGGTTATGTAAAGCTTTAACTAACTTAGTTAGTGATTACACTTTAAATTTTTTTTTGGTCCCCCCTTTTCTAAAAAAGCATGTGTATTTTTTGGCAGGGACACCCGCTGAGTAAATTAAGTACACCCTCAAATACCGATCAAAAAATCGGGTGAATGAATCCATTGAGTAAGCACTAAGCACACATCCCAAACAAAGCCCATACGACATGTTGGAAAACTAATAACTTAACACAAGTTGAAACCTCTGGGTTGTTCCAAAAGCTTTCCTATGGCTTGGACAGGAAATTCAAGAGCGTGAAGGATGGAAATCTGATGACAAGTCGGGTCTTGGCCTTTCTCAGCACCGGGTGTTGGTTCAGGTCTGGGTGTTATAATTTTATATTTACCTGAATCCTAGGTCATTTTGCTATGCATGGTAGCTCTGTGGCGTGGGGCGCATTACCTGCTAGAGAACCCACTGCTAAGCCTGGCACTGGCCTCAAGATATGGTCACTTTATTTTGTATGATGTTGATCATGTTTTATTTTTTTATCATGCATGCATTAAATTATTGGACCAATCATTGCCTCAGATCTTCTGTCATCCCCGCCTTCGGAAGTTCTTGGCGAAGCGCCGCCACTATCAACAGATGACTTGGCTCGGCATGTTCGGGGGCAAAACCTGGAAGCCGGTCCGGCTGGTGAGTTCTTCAAAAGCTGTGCACAAACTCTACAGGACTTCCCATTGTCTTATTGTCCAAAAAAACAATTCATGGTAGATCATTAGCCATGTTTCTCGGGGATTGACATTCTTTGTTGAAGATGCCAATTCGATTTTATTATGGCCATGTGGTATCAGTTTAAGATTCAAACGAATATTAATATTCATGTTTTTGGTATTCATGCACCCCGATAGGAAGCTCGACAAGAAGCTCTTTGCCAAGAGTGATAGCACAAGGCAGTACCAGTCCAAAGATGGGAAGAAATGCTTTCAGGGTGTCCCTGGGAAACTACGTGAAACGGAGATCTATCCTCCAGCCTTTGGACGGGCAGTATTTGAGACGTATACAAGTAAAAACCAGTTGAATGATTTTTTTTCTACTGAACACATGCTATAACATATGGCTCATGGACCGGCTCCAAGGTATGCTCTACTTTCTTTCGTGCAACGCCTCCACAGGGTGAGTACTTCGTTGATTGTGTCGGCGACAATTGGAATAACGCCAAGCAATACGTCCGGTGAAACAAGATTGGGGGGGAGTGGCCCATACCAATTGGGGTTCAAAACAACTTGTCAAAAAGGGTCTTTGTAATAAAAGTTGTGCATCAAATTGCCAAATTTCCTTCTGGTGGAGCTTCCAAAACGGACCCCCCCAAGTCAGTTCCCCAGGGTCCAAAAACGTGGGTTTTCCAGTATCTTTCCACGACTTCGTGGGGTCCGTGCGTGTGGGCCAACCCAACAGGAAATTTACATCAAATATTGAGTCCCAACAAAGGTTGAAAGCGGTGTCCTTTTTTACCCTCTTTTGAACCTTAAAGCACTGAAAAAGGATGCCTTCAAAAACAGATTCAAATAATAAATAAAAATATATATATATGGAAATGTCTCAGAATAGGGGTGCCTTAACTGAATGCCCCAAGCCCTTCTTTCTTATAACTAAAAAAACGAGCTTGGGGCATTCCTATTTTGAGAATATATTATATATATTTATTTTTTATTTTTGGGATCCCCGCTATTTTTCATTGCCGGTCAATGCACTACTCACTACTAGGTAATATTATTCTTTAGTCGCTTATACTTCAGTTCACCTATCCTGCAGCTGCCAGTGGGGACCATTGGAAATTGAATATATCCAATGTCATAGTGACATAGTGCTACCATGGCTTCCCCCGCGTGCTCCACCTCCACGTAGCGAAGGCTTAATGAAGTCGAGGAGTATCTCCTGAACATGATCAACACCCGTGAGCGGAAGCGAAAGCAACCTGCATAAATATTCAACCAGCAGGTCAATATGCCTTGCACGGGTAGAATACTTTTGGGCTCCAGCGATTCTTAATCACTGGCCCTACCTCACAAATTAACCTAAGTTGGACTCCTCTGTTTGATCCTTAAGTTATACATGAAAAATCATATGGATCTGTTTGCCGGAGGCCTGATGCTGAAATTAGATCATACGGCTGTACTGGGGCCGTGGTGTGGTCACAAACAGAACGGTTTGCATAATCTAGTTCGCTCATTGGAAAGCTTTGGGAACCACAGGGATGTTCACAGATATGGATAGATATGGATGTTTCATCAACAAACATGCATCGGATGGCATCGGGTGGCATCGGGAAGGCATCGGGAAGGCTCCCGTCGGATCCTCAAAACAAGGGAATTTGACGATCCCACGTCGGAAAGGCATCGGGAAAATTAGGATAAATTATTTTCCCGATGCCTTGCCGATGTCAGATCATGCATCAGAAAGGTACTGCGGGAAAATGTAGAATTCATGGTTATGGAACCCCATTGGTGGTATATCATGATGACACACCCCAAAATATCAAATTTATTCAAATTTTGGGTTTTCAGGTATTGTCCCTTGACACACTGCACATGTGACCGTACGTAGCAATATTGGGAGAGAGAGTAGCGGGGCTTCGCTTCACGGGCGGTGCTCGCTTTGGGCTATGGCCACTAGATTGCATTCAAACATACGCAGAAAACATTGCAAAATCATAGGTAGACTTTGTTAAGGCACAGGTCTACATACAATTCAAGCACCAGCAACTGTGAGGCTGAACATAAGCCAGTCGATCCAAAGCTTCCTATGTTTCATCGGCCTTCTGCTGAAGAAGTTCAGAGCTTCTTTGGTCGTTGGAATGGGGCATGTCAAAAGGCTGGCCATGCTTGGAAATCACAGATCCTTTGTTTGGGATTTATTAGCAGTCATACATACGTCTCTTTGGTCAGTACGCAGGTGACACCTATGGACGACTTGCCTCTTCCAAGTGCTTCCACAAATCCATATGGTCGAACTGACAGTGAGGAGATGTTGAAGCATGAATTCACCATGGTTCCCCACAACAAACCAATCATGATATACATACACTCAAACAAGTTTCATCCATGGGGTGAGTAGCACCAAATCTCCCATTTCATTCGCAGATACTAAACGGCATGCTCTGTCCTGCCGCAGGAGACACTGCCGCTTGGGTGGCCTGAAGGGCTGGGACTTAGCAGGGAACACGACTCTCGCCTCTCTTTGAATGAGTTGGGGGCCCAGGTGCCTAGATCACTGAAATCATGATTATATCATAATGCAACGGAACTATATATGTAATTAATTTAAGCGATCATATTCTATCGCAGTTTCTGGTTACTGGATAGTAAAGTATGAAACCTACAATTTGGTAAAAAATGCTCATGTCTACACAGGTGTTTGTGATTGTTTGTCTACTTGGCGTGTGCGCGCATGCATTTAGGCAAATATCTCCAGCTGAGTTCTCCAGGGCAACCTCCACTGAATGGACTTCACCTGCCACCACACCTGCAACCCCACCCTCTCTAATATCCACTCCTGCCCCTCGCCCAACCAAGAAAGCAAAAGCAGAAGTGGTTACAGCGAGCAAAACATCGGGCCATGTGAAAAGGGAACTGTTTCCGGGATCAACGTGCGTCCCCCGTCCAACATCCAAAGTATGCCTTGGGGGTGTGAAAAGGGAATGGGTGCCACCAGACCCATCCACACGCAGAGTCCCTGAGTTGTGTCCGCTGGTGCCCCCCGACACACCACTATCGCCCAAGTATAAGGCCATGGGTCCACCCCCCCCTCCACCAAGGAGGCTGGGCCACATCATGTCGGACAAGCCTGTGACCTCAAAGTCTCCACCTCCAAAGGCAATTGGTGTTGCACATCCGCCCCCCAAAGCGCACGCAGCAGTTGACACATGCAGCCCACACAACGCGCCAATTTCCAAAGCAGCCGCGCCGCCCACCCCAGTATCAGCACCGCCTGCGTTAGCAGCAGCAAAGTGGACACCCCCAGCACCAAAGTCCACGCCGCCGACAACAGCAGCAATGTCCACACCGCCGACAACAGCAGCAATGTCCACACCGCCGAAAGCAGCAGTAAAGCCCACCACACTGCCGAAAGCATCAGCAGAGCTGAAAGCAGCAGCAAAGTCCACACCGCTGAAGGCAGCAGCAAAGTCCACACCGCCGAAAGCAGCAGCAGAGCTCACAGCAAGCCCATCGCCAACTGTCGAAGCTATCACCCAGAAGGTGGAAAATGATGTCAAGGCTTTGATTGAAGATGAATTTGATGAGGCAATGTCTCATGCGATGATTAACCCTGATTTTAGACCATACTTGAAACACTTGGGATCAGAGTTGGGAGAAGAACCAGGTACCGAACTTGACATTGAACAACTCGAAGCTGAATGGGGAACCAACGAATCCTATGAAGAACTAGTCGCTTTTCTGGTTTGGAAGCAAGTGGAAGCGGCCAAAACCCAATCCATACCAACGCACACACCGCAAAGACGGGTCACCTGGGCCCCAGAAGTTGCAGAGATCACACCCCCAGCAGAGAAGACACTAGCTCCAGCCAAGTCGGAACAGCCCCGCAGAGCATCCGCAGTGACCGTGGCAAGTGCAAGCAAGGCAGGTTTTCCATGAGCGCATGTACATTCTCTTTAAGTTGTTCATCCTGCTCTTCTAACTACGTGCGCGTGAGTGTGTGCGTGTGTGCGCATGTTATTTGCATTCGCAGGCTGTGAAGCCAGCAGATTACAATGAACGCCAAGCATTGCAAGGAGTGTTCAAAAGGCCCAACATGTGATCATGTGCAAACAACAAATGTTGATGGTTGTACTTGGGCGTGCGTCGCAGCGCAGGCGCCTCAAAAACCCTGACGAACATCAGATCCCTGCAGAGTTTGTGGCTTTGTGGAACACAACAATGGAGAAGAATAACAAGGCCATCGGCTCCAACACATGTGGCCCTAGGTATCCCTAGTTCGCATGATATATCAAATATATTTCATTTATAGTCCAAAATCTTACCCATGATAAGACATCAGGATTTCATTACCGGCATGGCCATGCATTAATCTTACCCCTAATAAGACATCAGGATTTCATCACCATTATAACATATTGTTCAGCCATTCATCGCAAAAGGCTGAGAAGACAGCTTTGTTCGAAAAGTGGTTGGAAGCCGGCAAAGATTGGAGTTTGATACTCTATTGCAACAAGATTGACCACATACTCATTTCAGAATTTCCATGGTCGTTCCATAAAGCAAAAAAAACTTGACACTCCTTCCATTGAGGCTGCGGGTGGAATCCTTTAAGTCCCACACCGATCGATCCACAGATCGGAAGAAGATGGGAAACTTGTCCAACCTGGGTTGGGGTTTGTTGACTGTGACGAGTCTCTAGATGTTGGTGTCACATCACCTTCGGACTTCTTGACTCCTGTTTCATGTTGGGTGTTGGGGGTCTCCATCATAAGGCTGGCGCACACGTGCGCAGATTGTGTCGCTGCACTGTGGTGACATGTCGGCTGCAGAGCGTGTGATAGCCAAAAAAGAGGCTGAAGGTTTGGTACAATCGCACCCTGACGATGCCGAGTTGAAGACATAGTATGTGATGTTCTTAGCCATTTGATTTGTTTGTCGAGATCATTGAATTGTACATATAATTGTACCCCTTGCAAGACACCATCATTTCCTCACCCCATTGGCTTCCAAGGTTTGCACGGAGCTTGGTCGTAAAGATGAAGAAGAAGTTGCCGACCACCTGCAGTACGGAAATTCGGCCAAGATGGACAACGGTTGTGAGGATTGGGCTTTTGTTTTCCTATTAAGCATGTATATGCGCATATCCGTGCATATATCTTTATATGTATGATTATGTATGTATGAATAAGATCAGCAGCATATATCATAAGTATATATATATATCATTGGGAGGATGGTCATACGTGCCAGAATAATCCATATAATCCTTTTAATCGCCATACGGAAGCTGAAGACTTTGACCATTACATCCTCCACGCATGATGGAATTATGTGTTTTTTCTGCATGGGGGTGACCCTTATCAATCTGCCCACATGTTTCAATGGCATTGCAGGCTGCGAAGAAACTGTTGAAAGGCGTTGACCACAGCAAGACCTTTGGGAAACCCAATGGCCTCTTGTGCAATTTCCCGCAGAGTGCTTCGCCGGCTGCGCTGCCGGCACCTGTTGCCCCAGCAACGGCGCCCCATGAGAAAGGACGTAGTAAGGGCCGTGATCGTGGTCGAGGAGATGGACCCCGTGCTGCTCCCAAGAGAAAGATTCTTAACTATTGTTGGATACCCCAAAAATAAACCTTGCAAGGTTCACATGTTGGGTTTATAAGTGGGGGTTTGCCCTCATCCATGATCTCATTGTTCATACCTAGAACAAATGGATATGTACTGGATCCCGATTCAAATAAAAAGTATCTATATACATATATAAATATTATATATACATATAATTATATAAATATATATTTAATTTATATATATATATTATGAAATTACCGGCATGTAATGGCAAGGGACTGTCTGGAAATCTAGGGGTACGATGGGGTATAATAATTATGGAAATATATGTAAAGGGAAGAAGATCTGCGATATTGGATTCCCAATATGTCGTCCCAACTCCCAACCCAGTGTTGCTCACCTCTGGAGCCGATGCCCAGGACAATGCCTGACTTTCTGGAAGACCCTTTGGGAGCATCAGGGTGGTTGGTTTCACAGCTGTTGAAGGACCTTCAAACGGCCAAGGTTCTCCCGATCAAATTTGTGAATTTAAAGCATCAGGACCACCTTCGTTTCTAGGCTAAAATATGAAATTGCAAATAGATATCACCTTTCTAAGTATTGGACCCATATTTGCAATCATTCTCCATTGCCATTTGGTAAGGTAACTCTTTGGTTCAGTCTGCCACGGACTTGGAAAAATGCTACTTCCAGCTCAAAGGCGTTTGTGATAATGTTCAGGAGGACGGGCTCTCCAACATTCATTCTACACATGTCATATTGATCACATGTATGTAATGCATACATAGTTTGATTTCAGGACTCCACTCCGGAAGATTTCCCCCATTTGTCGCAGTGTCTCAGAGACGCTATTGATGTACGTCAGCAGTATCTCGAAAATTCCGCTATGGCTGGATCGTTATACAAACAAAAGAATAGCCGCAGAACCAAGGCTAGATATGGTCATTTAAATGACCAAATCATGGTGCAACTTTAGTATACAGTCATTCTTGATCATTGGCTGATTTTTTTCCATGCACATCTACTTTCGGGCCCGCACATGTTGCGAAGGCCGAAGATGATGATGACCACGACCTGACCGACTGAGTGGATGCCACGCTTCATCTCCCCCTCTTGGGGTTGGATTTGTGGGAAGTAAGCTAATCAGCCTGCTCAAACAAAGGAACGTTTGATCATGCAGGGTGTGTTCGGGGGCTGAACATCTTAGACTGGTGCCGTGCCTGATCACGTTATTGATTTCAACCATCATGCATGAACAACGATTTTGTTTAATGGACTGAAAGGCCGGCTCAGACGATGTTTCCAATTTTTGTTCAATCTACAATGCGTGCGATTGCGTACGCGCTGGTCCAAATTACCAATTTGAAATTGGTGCGGTTACACTAACAATCACCAAAGCTTGAAGAGAAAACAACCACGCAATTGACTGAATTACAAACTTGGATGGATGAAAATAGAGGTTTCCTGAAATGGGGGTACCCCTACATCATCCATTTTAAATAGGATTTTCCCTTAAAAACCATCTAGCTATTGGGGATCCCCCATTTATGGAAACCTCCATATGATAATATGCAATATATACACATAGTTCTTCAGTGTCCCCGCAGGACGAGTACGTGCAGAGACTCCTCCTGGAATACAATCTTGCAAGAGAACCATTCAGGAGCATTCTCAATAATATGTCATGGAGTTATGTATTACAATCCCAAACCTTGAAATGATGTTGTGGTTCATTTCACCTTTTTTGGGGATCATTTCCTTCGTTCCAGGTGCCCGCTGCCTTCTCTGCAGGAGCTTGGAGATGTGAGTTCATCACAACCATCACGGCCTCGGGTGGAGTTGAATCCATATGTTCCGGCGGTGGCGGCTGCGGCATTAGTGTTTGGGCGTAAATTGATAGGGGCAGTGTCCAATGATGTCCAATGGGTATATATGGAAACTTTACTACTCATAGCATGTAGTTATCCCCAGTTCTTAAAACTCTATGAACATTCTGACCCTGGTATAGCATATGTCAATATCGGTTATAAATAATTAGGTATATACGAGAAAATGGGGGGAAAAATATTCTGTTACTTTAATGCCTTGGTTTTCAAAAATCCATCCTATAGTTGCCAACTTTAAAAATATAGTTCAATCCCGGGGGCCAATTTCATTTGGTCGAGGCAAATCACCGACAATACCGCAGACCAGATGCCCCTTTGGAATTTGGTGAAGCGTTGGTGGATGAGTTTGCTTCTGGGGTATCGAGCGCACATCGTGTTACCCGGATTTAGCTCATCAATGCAGTATCCACATCCATATTTGTTGTTTTTTGTCACCAAGGAATCAAAATAAAAATAATAATCATGTTGGGCACCCCCACGGCCATTGACTTTCATGCCATGGCTTTCCATGGCTTCAAGCCCATGTTTTCGCATATGTCGTGAATATGCATTTGAGTACTCATTTACTCATATTATGCATACACTTTTCCTTCACTCCATCTATCGATCTCTCTATATGTATCTATTTGCCTACCTACCTATCCATCTATCGATCTATGTATCCATCAATCCATCGGTCCATCCATCTATCTATCTATCTACCTACCTATCTATCTAATTATCTATCTATAGATCTATCTATCTATCTCTCTCTCTATGTTTCTGCTTGGAGCTTGTCGCAAAGCAAGCAATATGTTGCTGATTTAGTTGTCAAAAAGGCAATGCCACACAGCAGCCTCTGCCACTGCGCGGCGTCCTTTGAAACATATATATGCTTAAGTGTTGATAAGTAATGTGTGTAAGTACATGCACTTGTGCGCACATGTATTTGTATACCACTATGCTTTTGTTTGTACATGGATACTTGCCCGTATGTAAGTATGCGTTATATCGCCAAACATATATATATATATATATGAATGTTAGAAACCATGTACTTATGTGTGTAAACATGTACATATTTCAGGGTTGTGTGTATGTGTGTGTGTGGATGGCATGGACCAACGAAGACCCATCCATGATGTCGTGCAAACGTACCTGCACTTTGGTTTGAACTGTTGACCAAGCTGTTCCAATTTGATCAATTTTGCTGCATCAATCCTCCAGGTAACTTAGGATATTCCAGGCGTCGACAAGCTCAACTCTCTAACGTTCCTACACAAATCACAAATTTCCACAGTGTGTCCTTTTTTATTTACACTTATGTACCTTTCTCTCAATGCATGTATATTTGCTTAAATACATGCCTGCAATATCTTTTTATGTCAACATGCCTGGGATTAAGTCCTTTTTCCTCCAAGGTTCAGAAAACTGCTTCCTCGGCAGTTCGTTGGTCGAAGAAGCAGGGCGGCAACCCAGCGGAAGACGACCTGGTCAAAAAACTTTCTGGTATCGCTACGAAAGGCAAGTGCCTTCAAAATGCTGAGAGAGATCTGCATAGATTGCTTCATCGTGAGTTTCTGTCCTTCAACCCAGAGCCTGAGTACGTCATGGTGCGGATGGTAGACCCTTCTATTTTAGAGATTGATTGGTCGCCGTTGGCAGTCCTTTTCCCGGACACTTTGCTCAAAGCCTTGTGGGCGCTTGGAGAAGATGTTTTCAGACATTGTCTGTTTGGAGATCTAATTGAGAATGATACCCTGGAGATCTGGCAGCACATTGAAAACACCTGTGAATGGTTCAGCTCCCACCCAGCCAGGCATTGGCATTCAAAGGGAAAACTTGCAAGTCTTGGAACGTACGGTGACGAAGTCCAGTGCTACAAGAACTCGGAATGCGGTGTGGTCAGTGTCTCTGCATGGTGTGCAGAATTTTGCACCAACTCGCATCCACTTTGTCGGTACTACCCCATTGCCATTTGGTCAGAACATGTGGAATGTGAGTGGACCTTTGGCGACATGGAATCTCAGATGATTCAACGTTGGCGCTCCTTGTGTGACCCCGAGGTTACGTGGCCTTGGACGCAATCAGGCTACCTGATGGCGTTCACTTTTGCCCAAGGTGATCTTAACTGGCTGAATGAACGAATGGGTGGTTTACATAACTACCGGCGAAATGACTTTTGTAGTCGGTGCCACTGCCTGAAGACCGACCCAGACCTAACCAAAACGTTGCCTAATTTTGCTGAGGATCCTGACGCTCACGAAGAGCGAGCTTGGAGCCAGGAGGAATTGGCAGGTTTTTCGCCTCTGCTCACTTTGCCTGGGATGTGCATGCAGTGGGTCATGCATGATGTTGTCCATTCTCAGTACTTGGGCACCGGCAAAGCTACGAATGGTTCCTGGCACTGGCTTATAGTTATTTTTTTGTTTGCTCGCATCACATCGAGTTTCCATCCCTTCTATAAGTCCTTCCCTGCTGTAGTAATTTGAACATGCATAGGTTCTGTATTGATCTACATGGTCGAAGCTGGGTTTTGGGGGCCGGTGATGGGAACCGCTGGCAAATACGCCGATTGCCTTGCCCCAGCGCTTCGCCGAACCCATAGGGATTTTTTGCTCTTCAAGAAGATCCACCACCTCGATTGCAGTCAGCCGCGGTTCACACCGGCCAGATTGAGCAGAACTGTGCAGACAAGTTCCTTGTTCAGCTAAGGGTGAAAAAGTTTTTTCTTGAGTTTCTTTCACCGATTGCCTGGTGGTTTGAAGGTGTTTGAATATACCTAGTGTTTTTTGTTTTTGACGCTGGCAGCTGGCAGGCTTTCCAAAACTCCAATCCAAAGCGGTAGCCAGCAAAGTACTGACCAACTGGCTGGCCGTTCGTTCTGTTGAATTTGCCCAGCGACCAGGTCTGACGGAAGCTGATCGAATGATATCCAGATGTGTGTATTCTTATTTCAAAATAATTCAGGTGATGGATACCAGTCGCTACATCATGACTGAACAACACGCGGTGGCATTTCATACAAATGCGATGAAGCACTTGCATGCCTACGTGTGGCTTCACTCGCATGGCATGAGAGTTATGCTGCGTACCCCTGGGAGGAGGTGTTGGCTTTTGATGCCAAAATACCATCACCTATGGCATTGTACTTAGGATACTCTGGCGACGAGAATCAATCCCAAAAATTCTTTGCTGCTCAGTGCTGAGTCATTTGTTGGCGACATGGGCAGAGTTGCTAGAGTTTGCCACAGGTCTTCTGTTAGCAAATATACTCTAGACAGATGGCGGGCCAAAATGGCCTTGAAACTTGGGGCACTGGCCAAAGAGTTAAGAGCCCAGAATGGTAGGTAGGTTCCAGGTATGCTGTTATCATATGTTATCATGATTTTTATACATCTTATTATGTCTTCAAACATGTTCCATATTATACTTTGTGTTTCTGTGTGCGATACGTACGGGCACTGGATAAGTTAGCTGAAAGTGCCGGGTAAAAAAGAAATTTGAGCCACACTTTATCCCAGAGCCTCAACCACAGGCATCGGATCCTCACCTCTTAGATCCCGAGGGCCCCTTGGGTCATAAGAATCCCACATATATCGGGAGCCTTTGGGTATTTATATTTAAAAAAACACAAAATAATAAAATCCAATTTCCAATATATCCCAATATTTAGGAAATAAATATAATATTTTATCAAATATTATTAAGAAAAAAATATATATAAATTTCAATTTATATATATAATATAATATATATATATATTATATATAATTAATTTCATTTCAACATATTTAAATAATTTTCAAAAAAAATATATAATAATAAATAAATTAAAAAACAATATATATAAAATATTTATATATAAAATTAATAAAAAATAAAAATATATCCATTATCGAAATTAATATCTAAATATCCTTACAGAATTTTACAATATAATTTTCAAGATTGCTACAGCCGTATCCTGCAGTCGTATCCTACAGTTGTATTATTCGGTCCTAATATTAAATTACCCGAAAACCTAAAAACATTTACCTAAAAGCCCATATACTTCCCTTCAACATATCTAAATAATTTTAATTTTTTTAAATAATTATCAATATAATTAATTTATGTATAATTATATATTTTTATTATAATATTGTATTTATTAATTAATTTAATAAATTAAATATTTCAAAAAATAAAATATATTTATAAAATAAATTATTAAAAATTAATTATATAATTTTTATTTTTTATTAAAAAAAAAATATCCTTATTTTATTTAGGTATTCCAATAAAAAAATATTATTATATTTTTTTAAAATATTATATTAATAATTTTAAAATTAAATATTTTTATTTATCCAATATATTTTAGAATATCTAAATTATATATAATTTAATTTCAAAATATTATAATATAACATAGGAATTAATATAAAATAATTATATTTCCCAAAATATTAAATAATAAATAAACAAATATTCCAAGATATTCCGATATTCCATTTTATAAAATATCGGATCCAACCCTACCTTTAAATACAAGAATATCCAAAGAGAATATTACACTACATTACACAACACCTTTTTTGGGAATATTATCTACGTATATCTGCATAATATTTTTTTTTCCATGACCTTAGTGGATTTGTTTGGCGGCTTTGCACAATTGTGCCAAAAATGCGTTTGGTTTACATGGCCCCAGCAGCTTTCGCCACATGAACTGTTAAACCAATTTCTTCAATTCGGGATGTTCTATCACTTGTCGGTTGCAGCCAAGACGTCTGGGAAAGCTGCGTGGAATGAATTGTTTCAGGGACAGCCTCCACACGTTTGCCCGAAAAAACAAGAGAATGAATAGGCCTTATCACATCATAGAATAAAGGAAAAGGCATGCAGCGAAGCATAGCATGTGACAAGTGTGGAAGTGTCTATGAACGTTAATATCTCACCCGACCCTCCCACCCACCCGCCCCAAGAAGAGATAAGTAACGTAGCAGAGCACACACACACACAAATAAAGGCAATAGCGTAGCATGTGACAAGTCGCGGAAAGTTTACATGAAAACATGAACAAGGTCCAAAAAGGCAGAAAGAAAAGGGACACGGCCAACTAGGGGTCGTTGGTCCAACTACAACTACACTACAACTACAAACGACAACTACAGATAGGTAGATAACGAAAGATAAAGCTAGATACATAAGATAGATAAATAATTAGATAGAAGATATGATAGATAGATCATGATAGATCGATCGATCGATAGATAGATAGATTAGATGGATGGATGGATGGATGGATGGATAGATAGATAGATAGGTAGATAGACAGATAGCGAAATAGAGAGATAGACAGATAGACAGAGGGAGAGATAGAGAGACACAGAGAGACACAGAGAGACACAGAGAGACACAGAGAGACACAAAGAGACACAGAGAGACACAGAGAGACACAGAGAGACACAAAGAGACACAGAGAGACACAGAGAGAAGGCGACAGATATAGATGAAGCTAATTTTCATGAGTATTGACCCCTCATGGATGCTAGTACTATCTAGTACTGCCAGTAGCAGCCTGATTTCATTAAAAATTAGCCTTCATCCATGATAGCTGTGTCTTGGGAATCGAACACAAAAAACTTTGCTGACTATTTGACCTGTAGGGGGGATGGTCGTTAATCCGGGGTAGCCACGAGTGCCTTTGCGTATAATTTAATTTTGCTGAGCTTTTCGCATGGCGCGGACCCCTAAGTGGTGCTGCAGCACGCAATGCATCTAAAGCGATCCGCACGTTGTCTTTCAAGATTTCAATCCTTAGATCGGGTTGGAGAAGCCCTGTCGAGTTGGAGGACAGCAATGATGCAGCTGGATCCAGATCTATGTCATTCCAGAAGATTGATCCACCAAGTAACTCGATGTACTGAGAATTTCTTCCCAAATCCTCCTAGTTGATCTTGCAAAACTTCCATCGGTCTGTCTATGGTATAGTCTGCAGTTTCCCTCCACCAAAATTTAAATAAAAGATTCGAGTTTGCGCACTAAAGGCATATCCAGAGCTGGAATATGCTGGAATTATTTCCCAGAAAAACAGGATCGCTCTTGTCTTCCAACACAAAATCCACCAGTTTCTGCGTTTTTGCCAAGTTTCTCCACCTCATTGTCGTTTGTACCAGAGGCTGACACCAGTTGGGCTGCCCGGGTTCTGCTGGGAGAGGAGCGACACACCCACGGGTCTGTTGCAAGGGCTTCAGACCTGAGACTAGAACGAAAATTTGGTACCAACGGACGCACAAAATTGATCAATGACCATTTTTAACCACCCATTTTTGGGTGTATTGGTACATAATTTGAAGCGATTCACATATGTGTTCTGGATGATGATATCACCTTCTCACAGCTGAAACAGCAAGGTCTGCGGCAATGCTTGCTTCGCTTGAGCAAGCTCCTATCATGGGCATAGGCGATGCATGGCGGTGCAAACTGTCGGCCGAGAAGCTGGTCTGTCGTTTGTTGCAGATTGTCTTTGTACTTGGAGGGCCGTTAAGGTCTGAGGGTGCCAAAGCATGGACTTGTGCACTCACAATATGATCAAGGACAACGACTCTATTCTTCAAATTGTGTTCACTGATGTTTGTTGACTTGCAATTCAATAATGAAATCCCTAAGTCTGCGCATACAAGTACCAAAACCAAACTGTTTTTCTTTCTTTTGCAATCCCTGGAATGGTGCCAAGATTGAACGGCTTAGACAGAGTTAACATTTTGCTTTCGGAGTCTAGGCTTTTAAAAAAAAATCTATATATATACTCCAATAGATAATAGTAAGTTGATGCAAATTGACGCGACAAGAGTGAAACTGTGAGACGTTCAAACCAAACAATGAAACCCAAAAGTGTCAAAAACTGTGCATCTCTCGGCCCCAGATTTTCCACCATCGGCTCCTGCATCAACTCCAGCCTCTCGATTGGCATGAGGCAATGCAAGATGTAGAGATAAATGGCAAAACCATTTAATCAATTTATATACATCAATTTATGATGCACTATAATACACTGTGATTCTAAAACATTCTAAAACTATATCATGCGTCTCAAATCGTCTCAAAGCTTGTTGGCTCAGATGAACTTTAAGTTGCTGCGTCTGACAACGATACACTGGGGGAATCTTGGGCCAGTACTCCTCACGCACCATTGTCTTCATCTTTTGAAGAGCATACTGGAGCCCTTGGCACTCGGTGCTGACTATCTGTACTTCTGCTTTCAACGTGATGCAACGGCAAGCTGGAAAGAGCATGGACAGCGATTCACCAACATAATTTGCCAAAAACCGTTGGCCCTTTCAGGACCTTGTTGAACATGAACAAACAGGACACCAAATGGAGAATTGATAGGTGTACAATTACTTTTGTTGTGGATAGGAATTCATAGAAAATCACATAACAAACTACAAACATCAACAAACCACACCATGCCCGTGCAAAGCGCCATTCTTGGCCCCCGTGCTGATGCACTCAGCATTGGAATCCTGAGATCCTTCAGCTTCAGGCCTGGAAGAGGACTGGTACAAGACAGCGTAGACAAAAATGGATTTCCTTGGCATAAACCTTCACGGAACAACTGTAAGATACTGTAAGTAAGCATCCAGAAGATTCCAGAAGCCAATTCAATGTACAATCTTGTGCGGCTGCTCGTACATCTGATTGCGGTCGACCATCAGTTGACCTTTTTGTTTGATAAAGTCTGCAACGAACGACTCCAGTGGCACACCTCTGTTCCGGAGAGTCAGGAAGCGCCTAGTCAAGGGTCAAGACAATTTTGAAACCCAGAAATCACATCAAATCACACAAACAAATGTCAAAATAATGTCGGGCTTTCGCGGAAGCGGACAAGTCACACGTCCTAATCCTTGATCCAAGAATCTATGCCTGCCCGTGACAATTTGAACCCTTGAAGTACTTTGCCTCTGCAAGACAAGTGTCATCCATTGGGTGCACCCAGTAGTCTTGGGGGTTTTCCACTCAGCCTTGTCTTCGCTCCATTTCTCACTTTTCTACTTGCCACTGCAATTCATTTGTCCTACTCTGACCCTATTCCGGGCGTGAAGCCCACAGTTCTCTGTTGCGCCAACGGGGATGGCAATGGAAGGCAGGTGCAAATTCCAGCCTCCAGCCAGAGTGAAGATCAGTGTACGGGGCACAAACATCACGATGTATCATACAGAAAAGTATGATAATGATACTGTATATCTTGATGTTCATAAATATCAAGCTAAGCACTTCATAATTATTTCCAAAGCAAATCATTCCCATGATGGGAAAGGAGTATTGCGGCCAAACAAACTCGAGTTCGGAAGGTCATTATTGTTTGGACTTTCATCCATCTTCACTTGGGCATGAAAGCGGACTTGCTCAACACGATTCCATGGTGGAGCAGTGGAGCAACGGTTCTAGTAGTGTCGAAATGCTGACAGCAGTCCGTGCCAGATTGAACACTTGCCTATTCTTTCTTAGAATATCTTGGATATATTTTCAACAGAATTCACCTGAATGCACTGGCACGCAATCATCGAACACCTTTCCATATCTATCCCACAGGTGTTGATGTTTGAATAAACGTGCACGATTGTGCATGATCCAACTTGTCCAATCATGGGTCGAACTCCTCTCAAGGTAACCATGGTAACCACAGCGCCTGTCGCAGATTTTCTGAGAGCAGTGGTTACAATGTCGGTGGCACACGGTTCTGCCTTACGCGCCGTCACACTGTGCCATCTGACCGAAACAAGGAGCTAAGAGGTCACAGATCTGGTGATCCGCGTGCGGCTTAGCTCTGTCGGCGCGAGTGGATGGATTTCTGCCTATTAAAACACTCTGCGAGGAGAACGGAAGATGCAGAGAACGAATTTGGTACATCCGGTAATCGAAGGGGTGTTCCTACCTCGTTCTCCAAAGCCGCACTTGTTTGTTATACAGTTATACAATATAATTAATATAATAGTAGCTACATGCTACGCATGCAATGCATACCTCGTTCTCGGGGTGTTCCTACCTCGGTTTGCAACCCATGTCTTTGATAAACCTGGGTACGCCCCAAGACTACTTCTCACTTCACTAATACAAGCCGGCACTCATATGATCTCATATCTCAAATGTTTTTGCTGTGACTGTTGGCAAAATCCTTGCATATCCTCATCCACCATAGATTAATCTAGGGTACATTGCCCGAACTCCACATTAACTTTACTATTGCCATCACAAAAGGCTTTTGCATCACATGGGAGTTAAGCTCATATTAGCTTCAATCTTCATTGACCTTGACATGATGCCTTGAGCTTCATTGCTGATCCGCTCTCCCCTCCACTTTCCACGGCTGAAACTTTGCACATGACCGGCAGCTGCCACATGCAGCCCGAACCTCTGACAAACATCCAAATCAACAAATGATATGATCATCGCCGTTCTTCACTGAAAAATCACCAATGTCGACACAAACAGTCCATCACATTCCTCAAAATCTCATGTGACATTTTTTTCGGAGGCGCAGAGATTTTTTTTTTTTTTTCGGGGGTCTGTTTTCTACTGCGTGAACTGAATGCACACACACCACAGCAGCCCGTCCAGGCCGCTCGGCAGGTAGCCATTGTCGGGTGTACAGTAGATCCAATAGTATTTACTGTAAACTGTATTATAATGATGTATGCAGTGCATATATAAATTATATGGTTTTGCAATATTGTATATTACCTGATGTCATATTAATAATATATAATACAATATATATATATATGCACATCATATATATACACATCATATATAATTATATTTTTTTATTATATTTTTTATATTTACATAGGACATATTTCATGACCTCTTACTTACCACTCTTGGGAAGAAGTCTGGTTTGGCACTCTCCAAGCCCCACGGAAATTGCTGTGCTTGATCTGAACCAAGGTCGTCAAATAGACTTTTCCAAGTTGGGTAATCTTTAGATCAACATTTAAATTGTTATGTGAATCTATTTGAATCTATTTGATAGTTTGGGAGAAGTAAGTCACTATCAAAATCCCGTTTCATTGGGCCACCCGCTGAGGACCTCCTACGGGACGCCAACTGATGACTGCGCATTCCGGAAGATGTCCATTCGGCTATGCATCGCCGACGCCTGCGAAAATGGTCCCTGACGCCAAGAAGCTACGCGAGGCATATTGCAATAAATTATAAATAGTCATAAATTCTCAAAATATATGGCCTATTTAGATTCATCACAATTTGTGCCATTTGCAATGAATCTGCTCTACAGGGGGATACCTCTGCAGACGCGACATCGAAAATCAATCGAACTTTCCAAGTTGAAAGCATGATGCGCCCAGCAGCGATCTGCGCTGCAATCATGTCTTGGTCTTGCTTTTAAGCTGCTGAGAGCATCGAAGCATCTGCAAGCTTGCAGTGATCTAAATGGACTCCTGTCCCTTGAAATTTCGCGGCACGCACTCAGCTCTGTTGTCATTGGCTCCACGCAGGCCTTCCTTAGTTGTGGACTGATAATGACTGATAGCTGTGTCCGGTACCTGAAGAAAAGAGTTTGCCAAGCTCCACCAAAGAACAAATTTCATTCTATATAGGATGTCTTATGATGCCAGAAGAGGATCGAAACAGCGTAAAATGCTATTGAAGCCGTAGTTTAGAAATATTATTGAGGCGTGACAACCCAAGATCGCTTCAAGATGCTTCAAGCATATATCATAGGTCAAACCAAGTTGTTGCCGTAAAAAGAAAACAATGGGTGCCACCTACACGTCCAGTGATTGTTTTCGTCGTAGTCAAGCAGGCAACAGGTGCATTTGATGTGGGCTACAACTCCAGTTTCCAAACAGCAATGGCATAGTGATAAAAAAGCCAAGCAACTCTAGTAGGCCTGAAAAGCACTTGACACATGCTGAATGATATGGTCAGTGATGTTCTCTGTCTGGAAACATCCCGAAATGGCTTCTGGAAAAGCCATTAGTGAATGCCTGCAACCATCATGAACACAGACTGTAACAACGCAAGATACGAAGTACCAGTAACATCCAGTAACACCAAAACAGCATGATAACAAGAAACAGTGAAGTCTTAGAGTCTTCTTTGATATTGATAAACAGCTCACCTATTCGGCTCACATCTATTCTTCACAGCCGTCCAATGCCCGTCCCGTCCGCCTGGATCATGGAACCTTATATCCAGTCTTTGACAGGCTGACGGCGCAGTCTTTGGCCTTGGCACATTGTCCTCTGCCTCCTGGACCCCATTTGAACCAATCAGAATCACAGAAATTCGTCATGATTTGATATTTTACGATCTCTTATGATATTTTATGATATGTTCATATCTAAACAATTCTGGGGATTCCGTGCCTAGCAACGCTGCCCTCTTGATACTTCAACTTCAGCAACCAGGATAACCACCAGGTCCCAGGTGCGGATTTGTTGGCATAGGACTTCACAAAGAATTGCAAAATGGAAGTCAGGCCTGGAACCTGGACAAAGGTGACAAAGGTGACAAAGGTGACAAAGGTGAAGCTTCAAAAGGACATGGATCTCGTGGATGCATTGCACGCCAATCAAGCTAAACATATGAGGAATGTCATCTAGCAAACTTCCAATTGGACTTTGGAACTCTAATGTAGCGAAGCTGGCAAGGCCATCATGAGACAGCAAATCATTCTGCCACAGGTATGCTGCTCTACTGTTTGATGTACAGTACTGGTACCTTGTTGGGAAGCGTAGAAAACAAACGGAAAATCCACACCATCCACAGCGACTTCCAAAAAATGGCAAGAACATGGTCGAAAATCCCTGCAAATCTCTGAAAATCCCTTCAATTTTCGATGCATTTTCCAATTTTTCCATCAATTGGGGAGGCGTCCGGCCTTGGGCACTTGGAGCCCCATCTCCACAAAGGCTTGGCATCGCACGCTCTCGTTGGACTCGCGGCCCACATTGCATCTTGCCCAGCCTGCCACAATATACTATATAAATAGAGATATGATAGCGTATATTGTACATATTATATAGATATAATAGATATAGATTTAATATCATATATCATATATGTTTATTATGTATATAGTTACTATCATCGTATTATATTTCATATTATATTCTATTATATTATATTATATTATATTATATATTATATTATATTATATTATATATTAATATTATATACTATGTATCTTTGTTTATACTCGGCTCATGACCACTCTCGCATACTGCTGCGCAATTGACAAATATCATGGCAAGAATGAAGCCAAGCCATCGCCATGACCTGCTGCAGAGATGGTGAACTTGCTGGAGAACGGGAAGCCAAGCCTCGATTTCGCACGCAGCGACAAGGCCAAGATAGGCCAAGCCACAAGGGATGGACTAAATTCAAGGCAAATGAAGCTGATAGAATTGGTCAAATATGGTCAAATTATCTGAAGAATTCACACAGAATTGGTCAAATTCACTGGGTGGAGTTTCCCAGCGAGAGTGCTTTGAACCTCTACGTGCACCAATGTCAGACCTGGGTTGTAGCAAGATCCCAAACTATGCTATACAGCATAAAGCTCCGATCAAGCGAGAGCGAAACACAGACTAATGCCACGTGCATGCAAACACATACAGCATCTAGGAATAAGACTTTGAATCGTGAAAGTTGCAAACATTTGCAAACATTCATTGCAGTAATCAGGACTTGTATACTTGAATACCGTTCAAGTTGTGTTTTGTTTCTTGGCATGATATGATTGCAAGTATGCGAAAGGCACCGAAAGAAGAACCCTCAAGATGCTGTATTTTGTGCAATGATCCACCTGCATGATTGACCGTATGTCATGCATATAATTGACATGTTCAAGTTCATTTTTCAAAGTTTGGACTGTTGCCTGAAGGAAATGAGTGGAAATGAGGTCTGAAAAGAAAGATCAGATTGATCAGATCATACATGATGTCCAGTGGAAGCACAACAATGAAACTGCAATTATTTTCGGTCCAACCGAGTAGCTCTACGCAAAGCATTTTGTCTCCATTTTGTAACCTTGACAGCGAGCGGGGGGGTGGATCACCAGTGCTGAATGGAATGCCGAGACAAAGGTTGCCCTATTGCCATTATCTGGTTCAAATTCTCCATCCATGAGAAATCTGTCTGCATTATTTTGTGCCTATCAAGAAGTATTCGGTCCTGGACCTGAAAACAGCATGAAACTGGTGTCGGCTGGAGGCATCAAACCTACGTCTGCAAGCACTCTTGCACAGATTCGCATAGTCAAGTTGCACGATGTCTGCCACTAAACGTTCGTGGTAGTTGCCAGACACCTTGCTCGAGTTTCGTACCTTGGGTTGCATAAGCGAAAAACTGGCTGGACATTCATGGACATTTAAGGATACCTCTGACTTGCTACTGGCCAACATGGGTGATGATTTGGAGCCTGTGAGCATCCAATTACGTCATCCAATCTTCCAACTTTGCTTTTCAAGGCACCTGAGCATGGAACAGCGGAGATGGTATTGAGACCACCCCCATGGGCATCTGATATCTCACCTGAGCGTCTCAGGACCATGGATGATGTCAGCTTCACAAGTCAGTCTCTTGCCCCTCTACGAATCTACATGTGGCCTCGCTGGGCCAAGCGACACGTGATTCAAGTCATGCAGGGCTGTCTGTTGATTGGGCAGTTTTCAAGTGTTTCAAGTGGGAAAGCACAGCCATGGTGTGATGTCAAACCAAGTTACAGCTGGGAGAGTCATTTCAAACAAGCCCTGACTGGCATCGATGGGTCTAACACCCCATCCTTCACCACACAAGTCCTCACGATTGTGGCACCGCGGGCTTTTCAATAAAGCTGTAAATTGAACTCGGCGAAAACAATTTTCTTTACATGTGCGTGCATAATATGCCAATTAGCTATAGTATAGAATCACACATCTATGCTGTTGGTTAAATGTTAGCATCAAACAACAATACGAATTTATACAGACCAGACATGTGGAAAGTAATTCTTCATCATTGTTCCATGGAGCTAAACCATGCGAAACGTATGTCAGACATTGTCAGACCAGGTCCTCCAGAACCTCTTGATCGCTTTGCTTCATCTTCTCTTCTGCCACTTTCGTTGCAGCGATCCCGGGTTCAGAGTCCAAGCGTACCACCAAGTTGGTTGCGGACATGCCCGGCACATGTGGCTGCGTTGTGTCCTTCCCCCGGCTTCAAATTATTGCTGTCAGATTTCAGGATCAAAAGATCCAAGAATATACAATCATCATTCAGTGGCAGTTCTACAGTTCTACTTGAAAATCACAGATTGTTTTACTTCAGCTTCAGCCATTCTGCAAGTCCTCCTGAGAGTTCACAGCGTCGTTGCTGTTGACCGCCACTGTCGTCAGAGTGGTATTGTTTTGCGAAGGGACTGGATTTGTATCCTCAAAGCAGTGGGAGTTTCAGGGGGTCTTTCAGGAAGCAGCCTTGGATCATGTAGAGCACAAGGTCCTCTGACTGCTGCAATTCTTTCAGGTCCTCCTAGATTTGATTCGATTATGTAATCGTTTATTCAACAAGAAATCCAGGGGTCACGATAAAACTTTGTCTGGTGGAACTCGCGTACACTTCCATTCCAGTACCAAGAGCTCCTACATACAATTACCCACTCCCAAACCCCCCTCCAAGTGCACAAATACGAAGCACAACCACGTGGAGTTTGATGTTTTGACATGACATGTTTAGACTACATCTATATAATTTATATAATCAAGAAACATAATTTACAACCAACAAACCACCAGCTGATAGCTGCTGGCAGCTGGCGAATCGGCAAGCAACTGTCTGTGCCACCTCGACCACTGGATTGACCTTCCAAGCTCCCGCAATGCCCGCAGCTGGTGCTGCGCCCGTAACGGCTCTCTGTGCCTATCCACAGGAAGTTCAACCGACCTGGACCTAACTGCGATCACATCCAGATTTTTTTCCAGTGCATAGTGTAACAGTGTAACAGGAACGCAACTGCACCAAAGCCTTGGAGGTTGTGCTGTTCCACCAGGCAAACATGCTCAGCAGCGCCAAGACGCGCCTGGTGTTCATGAACAACACCAAGGCAGTACTAAATTGTTGCCACTATCAACAGTTTTCGAAGCATGGCATTCGCGCAGTGACGTTTCATCTGTGCCACTCCGACGCTACCGATATTATCGGTATGACCAGGTATGAGCTCCACGACATTCCATGACCCTGCCTCGCAAAGCTGCGAAGGGCCATGCTCCAAGTGCCCAGGCGGCTGGTCACTGAGAGCGCTGAAACTTCCGCGGCATAGCTCCTGGCACTTCCCAAATCTGCGGTGGTTTGAGCGTCTGGGTCAAGGCTGTTTTGGACCGTGGTATACGGCCAGGTTTGTGTTGAAAGTCTGGTTTCAACCTGCAATCATGACACCAGCTGAAACGTGGATTGATCAAATTACATCAAATATACATCAAATTACAACGTATCCCGAGCTGGTCATTCTGCAAGTTCATAGACTGATGTTGGCTGCCTGCTGCCTCCTGCCCAACTGCGCAACATTGCGCAACGAAGTTATCCCATCCTTTTGGGAGTTTGATCACTCTGAGGAGGTGGGCCACGAAGGGAACGACCAGGGCCAAGCATGCTGAAGTTGCCTGTGCGCACGAGATGGTTTTTTGATGCCTTTTGCACAAAATTGGGAAGCAAACTTGGGATCGACTTGGACCGGCACTGAGGAGGGTTTCCAGAAATCACGTCAATGCTCTTTCAGAAGGGGAAAATCCCACACCGACACCAATCCTTCTGCCTACCATGCATCCCTTGGCTCATGGTTGTCTATCCTGCATTCAAAACCGGGTTCATTTCTGAAGTACTTCTGTCAATCACAAAAGCCACTATACTTTATCAAGACTTTTAGGATTCACTCTGCATCTTGTGCCCTAGCTCCGAAACAAAGGACCCAACTCCCTTCATAGGCCCTGGACAGCCTAGACAGTCCCAACTGTTCAAATTCGGCCACTATTCACAAGTTGAGAAATTGACTCAGCCAGACACCTCCAGAATCAGCAAAATGTCAAAAACCTCTTATACATTCTTATGCTGAGTCCAATGGCCAACCCACATTTGCCAATGCCAAGTCACTACATGGCTCCCAGTGCAGTAGGAGCACCTCACAAACTCCAGGAAAAAACAGGAAGCTTCCTTCCTTTAGTGGCACCTTTTCTATGTGTCATTTTGTTTTGCCTGTTCACCCCTACTATACAACTATGCTGCTGAATTGATGTTAGCCCTGAGAAATCCTGAGAATACATTGCCTCGTTCACCCCTAGCATACAACTGTCCTGAGAATACTTGTGCATGTGTTCCGTCATTTTTTAAATCATTTTTTAATATGTTTCTATCATGTACTTCCGAATTGATTCAAATTGCCTCTTCCAAATAGAAGACCCTTTGTTTCAATCTAAAACGTTTCTCAGCAGACCGAGCTGCTGCAACCAACAGCAGCAGCAGAAATTTCATTGCTGCAACGGGAACGACCCTTTCAAGAATCAGAAAGGGCTTGCTGGAATCGAGCCAGAACTTTGACAAGCCGTGCATGCACCAAAGAAACCAAAGAACTTGGACACGGGTCCTGGAGCATGATCTCGAAACGCGCGCGATTCGCTGCGACGCATGAGTAGACTTGCAAACGAGTTGAGAACAAACGCCAGATGCATGACGATGTGGACGACGATAAGACCCGACACAGATGCGAGTTCTTCCACCGCTGATCAAACAATAAGAATAGCCAAAAGTGATACAACAACTCATACAAGTCATGCAAGGAAGAAGTGGATGGTGCGCTCTTGACGACTCTCGAACCCTGCACCTGACCGTTGGAACTTTCTGCTCTTTGACCCCTGCCAAGTCACACATGTCACACGAGTCTGAACATGTCTGAACGTTTATTTTCCATGACGTTCTTTGGCCACCAGTGAAGCCGCGACTCCTCACATCAAAATGAAACTGTCACTCGCTGGACTCCCATGTCATGTAATTTGAACCCAATTCTTTGCAAAGTTCCTTCTGTTGTAACTATCATTGCAAACCGCTTGTCACCTTTTAAACTCATTATCAACCAGGGATCGCGGCCCCTCCTGTGCATTGGGAAAGCGACATCTTCCCAAGTGAGAGACCTGAAGTCTGGCAAACTGGCGGCTCATCCAATCATGATGGGCTATAGTTCAAATATGTCCAAATCCTTCCTTCAAATCCACTGAATGAAAAGCGCATGATATGCAACATTGTTTCAGCAGGCATATCATGCAACATTTAGTTGACTTCTTCAAACAAGCCGAACCCCTTGCGTTTCCCTATACTGTATATGCACGTATATGCCATTGGAACAACATCACAAGCAAACAAAAGAAGCACGCGCCCATAGCCAGTGCCCCCCCCCACGCAGGCGCAATTACATCCACTCTTTTGCACTGTTGCACTGTAAGTTTCGTACCCATTCATAGCTTCTTCCTCCATTTCCTCCCCGAGCTGCATGCACTTTGCGAACGACCAGTGCCATGCAGATTGCACTTAAGCGCAAGAAAACATAATAAGCAAAACGAAAACGCAATTGCTCGTCTGCAGCATACACCATGGAACACAATTGTATTGATGCTTGACCCATCTACCGGGGTCTTCATGATCATGATTTTTCAGTACTTGGAAGAGGGGCTAAGCACCCGTCAATAGGAAACAATACTCACGAGCTGTCTTTTAGATTCAACCAGCTTGTAAGTTGCGACATCAAACGGCAACTGATGTCAAGCACCCGCCTCTGGCTTCCGCGGCTTCCGCATCCTTGAGAAAGCTGCAGGAAAGGGGCACGAACCAAGCAATGACCGGAAGAAATTATTGCCCATGTCTTGAAACACTTCCATGACGGTCATGTATTTGTGGAATTTTGTAGAGTCTACACTACGACTAAAACCAACCCTGAAACCTGGAGATCTCGAGCTGGTGGAATCAGCTTGTTCGGAAGTTGATTGCAGATTGTTCAGGCCAATTTGTTTTCAAACAAAACTGATTGACATTGATTGACACTCCTTGCATTTCCGGTCATAGTCATAGTATGAACCAGGCTGACTTGAAGGACCCCACAACCAGGTCACAAATCAATGTAGCTTGTCTGAACATCGAATTCATTGTCAGTCACATGCGTCAACAATGCCAACTGACTTGATCCTTGGAACATCAACGCCGCCGGGCGTGAGTTTTTTCATGTAACTGCTGCGTGCCCTCATTTCAGCATTTGACATGTTGCCGATGTTCACATGTACGTTGCAAATGCTCGCTGAGGTTCAACAGTGGAGGGGTGGGGGGGAGGGTGTAAGAACGTCCCTAACGACTTTAGGACGGTTGCACATAAGGGTCCATTTGACATGTTGCAGATGTTGACAGATGCTCGCTGAGGTTCAACAGGGGGGGGTGTAATAACAGATCCTTTAGATTCCTTTAGGATCAAGCAGGTGAGCCATCGAAATCAGGAATTTCGCAGAGGTCGAAATATTGGAACTCAGATAGCTGACCTCCGCTGGAAGAGTCTTCAGTCATGGCTGCCTAAAAATGTTAAGACGTTGTATAGAGGTTGTCTGAATGCCAAGCTCATGCTGTACGTGCGATCATGGCAGATCCTTTTCCAAAATCAACAGAAGTATGTACAGAAGTTGGGTCAACTCTTCAAAACGAAGAATGGAGGCTAAAAACAAAGAACCAAAGAAAACATGTCAGCTTTGAAGATGCGCTGCAAAGTTTTTTTTTCAGATGTTGACCTGTGCGTGCTGATATCAAGAATTCATGTCACGGAAGCATCATTCAGTGATATTCGATATATATATATATATTTACTCATTCCGTATTAAAACTCCAAAACCACAATGATTATATAAATCCTGCGCCCGCCTCAAGGCGTTGTTCCCTTGTTGATTCTTGTTGCTGGGATTGCACCAACCCAATTTACCGCACCAACCCAAACATAATCCCACGGCTGTGGGCCAAAACTCTCGCATTCTGGTGAGCCCAAGAACCGATAATCAAAAGACCGGATAACCCAACATGTCAACTTCTTCCAATAGCACAAAACAGCTGTGAAAATGGGATGGGAAAGGCAGGAAAGAGACCAAGGAGATGGTGAAAAACAGATTGTGTGAAAGAGCTGTGCAGTGACAATGTTGTATGCGATTTTTTTTTCCATTCGCTGCTCAAAAGGGTCACGCCCTTGCTGCAAAAACATGCAAACAAATCAATTAAAGATCCTGGAAGTCAGGAAGCCATGGAGCGTCACTGCGGATATGAGAGCAAGACTTTGCTGCCTCCGCAATCCATGCATCAAGATCTTCCCTGGATTCAGCACAAGGGGCCGTTCGTCCCTTGCGCAAAAGGCGGTCAAATTGCCTGGAAAATGCATAAGCTAAGGCATGGCAGAATTGTCTGGGATATTCTTTGTGTTGGGCAGTACGAAACTGTCCATTGCCATCAACGCCAATAGCGACCGTTTGGGGCTTCACCACGTCGTCCATGGATACACTGTACAAATCCTGTCGAAAAAATGGCATGTCCCAAACCAGCAATCCAGTAGGTTTAACGGCAGTTGCTCCCCATTTATATTGCGCAATACAGTGAAGGATCAGATCCGGCAGGTCAAGTAGCATTTGCACAACTGCACTTGTCCAGATACTTGGGCGGCTTTCATCCAGTGGTGGTGCCGGATGTTCCGCTACAAAGATCCCTCCTCTGGTAATGTGAATACACAAAACCCACATGCACTGTAAAAAGAAAGCGCTGCCGACACTGCATTGTCACATCTCTTTCGTGGTAAGGCCTTCAAGGCCAAACAGTCTCTCAGCGGAACGCAAAGGGCGAGGCCAACGACCTCCCCCATCCATGTCAACCGGCTTCTCTGTAAACCTGGCCTCGCTGTAGGTCTCGCAAGGTGGGCCACAGAGCGTGGCAGCAATGCGTCCAGTGAGATATATGGCTTCCAATGTATGCCACGAAACTGTATGTTTCATCAAATTGCCAAAATCAACAGATACTGCCGTATCCAAAGACAAAATGATTACTCTCCAATTCCTCGCCTCTGCAAGACAATGTAGAGCACAATGGAAGTCACCTGTTCGTCTACGTCCACTAAAGAGGTGCGCAACTAAAAAGGTTGGTAAATCATTCAAAGTCTTGTACCTAGGGCATGGGTGTGTGTGCGGCACTTCGTCAAGGCTGCAGGTCCGCAGTTGTCGAATCCACTGATCTTGCATGCCATATGCCCTAGGCACCGGGTGTATAATTTGAGAATTCTTCTTGGGGTGTCGTAAAACATCAACGGGCTTCAAAGTGCGATGCGGCAAGGGCTCTTCCTCAACACAATGCCGCAGACAGGATTCAAGAGATGCAATCTTAGCTAAGAGCTGGTATCGAGGGAGCTCCGTGGCAAACTCGGCATAAAGCTCATCCACGACATACTCTGCTTCACCATCAACAAAGCTCGCTACCAAATCAGGAAGCCAATGATCGCCCCATGCAAGAAACACAAAGGCCAACCAATTGTCCCATGCTGGGTTGTTATCTCCAAAATCAATACAGAGCACCTGAATCCAAGCGTCAATGAGTTCTTGTTTATTCTCATCAGAAGGGCCAGTTGGATAATACTGATGGAACCATTTCATCGTTTCCAAAGAAAGGGCATCCCCTATCTTGGCACCTGTTGTAAATGGTTCCTCTGGCATGTCCGTAATTTCCAACTGGCTCTTGCATTCTTGCAATTGTTGCTTCCACATTTCTCTCTTCTTGGCAATTGCTGTGACTTGTTCAATTTGGGGCCCACACGCCTGGAGACTCTCTCGCCTAGCTAGCCCCTGGACTTGTTTGGGAAAGCGCACTGCTTCATAGGTAACCTGCCTTCCTTGCGTGGACAGGGCGAAAAAGCAGGGGTTATAACCCAGTTTCTTAGGGATATACGCTAAATGCTGCTGGAGTCGCTGCGTGGTCCAGCAGTATTTCCCACAGTGAAGGCAAATTGCTCCCTGAAGAAACTGCCTTTCCACTGAGAAAATCTGATGCTTCTTCCGTTGGTGCGCAGGGAGTCCCCTTGCAGTGGGGAAACAGTCTCCACAAAAACATTTGTGCTCACCCATGACACGCCCAGCATGGAAAGGATCAGGAGAGATGACAACCCCACCCTCTTGCAGAACAGCAAAAATTTCTCTGTGCATCGCATGAGCTTCAGTCATGATCATTTCTTGCATCATGTGTTTTCGGCTGACTGCCTTGACCAAGGACTTCCATGGGTACATGTGTGACTGCCAAAGGTCAAACAATGCTGTCATGTCCAAGGACCAATCCGCCGGCAGGGCTATAGGATTGATTGCATGCATCCACTGAAGGTCTGCCTTCAACCCCTGTAGCCATGCATCAGCAGTCATGTCAGCCTCTAAATGCACTAAATGCTGAAGAAATGGAGGTCCAACTGCAAAGACCTTCTGTGCATAAAGCAATCTGTCAACTGCAAGCCTAGCCCGTACATCTAAAACCTTCGCGCATGCAAACACCTGTTCATTGGTCTTATACCATTGCTCTTTCGGCCATCGCAAAACTCGCTTGAGAGTCCTGGTATAAAAACCAGTGAGCTTCTGCAGTTGCTTAGGAGTAAAGGTGTGCCAAGCTCCTAGGCCGAAAAAGAGCTTCGAAAAAACCAAAGCATGTAAGAGTCGAAGGCGTAGAGTCACTGGCAAATGGCGGTTCACAAGCAGCGGTCGGGCAAGATGTGAGAATGCCGATTGCGCCATCCCTATCCGTGTGGACAGTTCAATGTCCAGACCATGATCAGATGTGAACATGGTGCCCAAATGCCTATAAGCTGGTACAAAGTGTAACCAAGTATCAGTGTCTTCTGCTAGCTGACAACAGACTCCTGGTCTTGGAATCAGCTGAAACTGCTTACGCAAGTCACTAGCACCATGACCTCGGAATGTAACTACCGCATTGGTCTTGCCTAAGGCGAAATTGAGCAGGAACCCTCGTTCATGAAGAAAACCATGGATGGCTTGCAAGAGGCGAACCAGTAGAGGCACCAAGTCTGTAGCATCAGCTGTGGCAACCGGCACTGCTACATCATCCGCCCACAATATGCTCGGGAAAGGCACATCCTCATTGCCCAAAACTGGGGCATGCACTTTATTCTGGTCAATCCAAGCGTCAATACTCTCAGCTACAGCCTTCATTAACACATGAAAGACAATGTCCGCAAGAGGACTGCCAGGTCGTGTGCCTCTGTGGGTATGCAAAATATTTTGATCCGGCAAGGAACACCACGTTTCTGCGTGAATGTCACACAGAAGCCTCACAAGGCATCTTGGAGCACCAAGCTGTTCAATCAAACCAGGTAGTGCACAGGCTGCCTGAATCTTCTCTGTGGGGTGCCCAGTGGATAACAAAACTTGAATGACAGTATCCAAGTGAGCAGACATGGAGATACCGGTAACAAGCTCCCGCACCAGGTGATGGAAAGCATTCGAAAGATCCAGGAAAAGGACAGCACTGCTGACTCCTCTTGCGTCTGCCATTTTGGAAAAAAGTCTAAGTGCTTGCGACCCAAACATCACTTGTTGTCCCCGGAAGCCTCCCAACTGTCCTGGTGCTCGGACTGGTTCCAAATAGGTCATAAGCTGTTGGCGCAACACCGAATGCGTGCGCTTGGCCATGTTACCTAACAGCAGAATACCACGGAATTGCTTGGTGGTCGTAGGTGCCAGACATTTAGGAATGATAGCGACCGGCCCACCTTTATACTGAACTGGCTCAGATTG